GAAGTGATCTTCTAAAGGTAAAACTCCCAAGACAGAGGCATGGGACTTAGAAGCCTGAGTCAGTTTAGAATAATTACTTTTAGCTAGGATAATTCATTTAAACTTTTATTCTAATCTACAAAACATTTAGTGTATATGTGTGTGTGTGTGCTTGCTTATGTATTCTGAAGTGCATGCAGCTGTCAAGGAAAACTTGTGGGAGTGGATTTTCACCTTTTACCATGTAGTTCTAGTGACCAAACTCGGTTGTTAGGCTTGACAGCAAACATCTTTACTATCAAGATATCTCACTGAACTAAAATTTTTTCAACAAAGTCTCACAAATGTAGTTCGGGCTGGCCTGAAAGTCACTACGAAGCCCAGACTAGCCCTGAACTCACGAACTTCCCCCTGCCTTGGCACCCTGAGTAAGCAAATTATAGGTGTGAGCCAAAATGCTCAGCAAAGTGTTTTTAAATAAGCACAATTATAGTTAAAATTATTTGGCCAAAGAACGGGCAACCAATTTAATTAGTTGAATAATTCTAATTGTAAATTGTGCTTACTTAAAAACACTTAGCTGAGCATTGTGGCTCACATCTAAGGGAGAGGGCTACAATCAAAAATTAAAGTGAATAAATTATTTAAAAATATATAAAAAATTAATCGGCCAATATGTCCCAAACTGTGATTCACTAAACAGAAACACCAAATCACAATACATTTAGTTTGCCTGTCACATGACGTGTGTATTCCTAAAATAATCATTTATTCTACAGCCATATTAAAACAAAATTGAAAAATTAGGGTTTTTATGGGCAGAATGGAATAAGGCACAAAATACCAAAACAAAACAAAACAAAACAAAACAAACAAAACCCTACCATCACGTATAAGTTAAAAGTCATAAAGAAAAACAGTAATAGCATTTTGCACATGCACAATCTACCACAACACACTTGAAGAAGAGAAAGGCCTCTGGGTTGCCTGTGGAAGTTTCATGAGACCTCACATAGGGTCTCAGCCCGTCTGTGCTTGACCTAAGCTCACTGAACAGGCAGTGCTAGCTGAGGTCGTCACGGAGCTCTGTGTGTTGCCCTTCGGGCGCTCTCATGCCTCAGTTCAGCTGGGTACAATTTACACAAACTTTTGCAAAACCAAACCTGAAATTTGTCTCATGCTCCAAATGTTCCCTGGCACCCCTCAGGTTTGGAATAAATTTACATTCGGGAATGAAGGCGATAGCAGAACACAGTGTGACGGTCCACACCTGATAAACATGATGAGGAAAGGCACGTCCTATGTTCCAGTCATCTAGGAAGGGGTGGAGTCAAGCAGCTTTCTATAGCGGGAGAGCTGAGAAACGCCATCTGCTCAGGCAAGCTCTAACCTTCAGAAGGGAGACAAGTCTACAACATGTTTAGAAATTAGTTAACTTTGGAAGCCTCTATTTTGAAGAGGAAGAACTTATAACATCATCTAAAAATAGGGTTGATGGGTGCCATGGTTGGATAAATATTTCTCTAAGACAATGTTTTATTTTTTGTTGTTATAAAACATAAGGCAAATATTCTTCCTAGGACAGAAATAAGTTATAACCTGTTTTGATAATTTTTTTAGTTGCAATAAAGTTTTCAAAATATTCTCAGTGTTTGTGACATTGCTGGCTGTATTGTTCTGGCTCACAGTAAAAAGAAAAAATAGAAGATGAATAAAATGTCTACTTTGAGGTTGGCAATCTTTTCAACATGACTTACCACAAATCTAAATTTATACTCAATAAGTAAATTTGATATTTTATAGGTATTTGCTTTTAGAAGGTTTTTACTTAATCCTAATGTCCTAAATCAAAACCTTTTTTATGAAAAGATAGAAAAGGGAGCAAGTATACTGATGTGTTACTAATGTGTACTTAGCTGTTTCAAAATTCACTTTATCTTATTTAAAAATTCAACCAAGTCTTTTTATTACTTTATTTCTCATACAAAAAGCTTTTATTAGAGATACAGAAAAGTTACAAAATAATGATTTAGTCATTCATCAGCAAATCTGTTACTGGAGAGGGTTGATAGAGATTAAATTTTTTAAAGATAGAAAGCAACCACTGGAAAATAATCTTAATAAAAATATTAAAATAAGGACGAGGAAAAATCCCTTAGCAATTAAATCCACACCACTAGCAACACTTGTCACCATTATAATAATCAAACAAATTAACCAATGTGCCGAGTAATCCAGGGAGAATTTATTCAAGTCCATCACTAAATTACAGCAAGTTTAGGAAGTGAACTTTATGTCATTTAACCAGCTCGGTTTGCATCCTTGAAAATCAGCCACCAGAAAAATACTGAAAAGTGTCTCTTAGCAGGAAGTGCAGGGGCAGCTTGACTTGGAAGTCCTTAGAAGTCCTTGACTTGGAAGTCCGTAGGCCCTTTATGGAGAAGCATCTCAGCTTTCCTGTCTGGCGGGCCCCAAAAAACCAGACCTCCAGGGCTTTTTCCTGGCCCAGAATGTGCCCTCTAAGAACAGACTTTTCCCCAATGGTACCAGAAACAACTGTTAATCTAGCAGTTGCCTGACATATTGGGTACAACTTAGAGAAAAGAATTTAAAAAATTTTAAAGGTAAGCGAGGGAACAGGGTCACCATAGAGACAGATAAAACGAGCTCTGTGTTATTTGTAGAGCTGTGCATAAGGTCATGAACGATCCAAGAATGCCCTAAGTCCTCACCTCAGATTGATTTCTACTCTGTGCAAACAGAAAGTCGGGGGAGCGAAGCTGCAACGCCAGGGTGGTACACTGTAGGCTTGCTTCACCACACAAGACTGGGAGACTTGCTGTTTGTAGCTGCCTTAGTCCATCACTCACTGACTAGTAAGATCACAAACCAGATAGCTTATTGGGTGCACGAGACAGACCATGGACAGTGCGGTCTTCTCTCATAAGTCACTGAATAAACAACAATACAATAACTAACCACAGTAACAAAAAAACCTCATGTGAGAGGTAAGCATGATTTCCAGGACAGATGCAACATATTATTTAATATGTCCGGTTTTGAACAAAAACAAATAATAAAGAGAAGTAGTAAAGTAAATAAGAAAGTATGGCCACACATAGAAGATGTACATGACCACCTAAAAAGTTATTCTTGGGGAGAGCATCCATGTGAGAGTCTTCAAATCAGTTATCGTGAGCACCTCATGTATCACACCTGTGAGAGTAAGGTTCCAACACTGGCAATTTCAATAAAGCGATATAAACCTTCCCGGTGCTGGGTTGGGAAATACTTACTTTGTTATGACCCCCAAAAAGTATGTACCCCAAATTGACAAATTTGTGGGGACTGCTGAGGTGGGTAGAAGATCCACAAGCACTCCATGGAACTGAGAGGAGGAACGTGAGGGCAAGAGTCACTCAGAAAGATTATTCAGTGCTTAACCAACTCAGTGGATTTCTCCTCTATCACGTTTTTATTGGGTAGCGAATTCACCACTGGAGAAAGTGTGAGGAGGAAAATAAATATGTAGATCACGGTGTTGCTTTAGGGCTCTAGTAAAGTGTCTAGAGGTGAAAGCTGCCAGCTGCTGTGACAGCTGAAGCACGGACTTGGGGGTTGACAGTAGTAAAAGCTGTCCCTTGTTCCTAGCACATGGATGGTAGTTGGTCAGGTCAAGTTAGAAGGAATGTAGAGGGAAGCTCTGTTCTGCACAGTTACTTAAAAGCGGGCTTCTACAGCACAGGTTTCTAGACACTGCAGTCATTCGCCAGACAGGAGAAAGGGCAGAATCAGGAGGAAGATGACCCAAATGTGTACCGACTTCTGTGCCATCTGTTAGCCAGAGCTCAGTAGTAGGTCCTGCTCAATTCCAGAGATGCAGAGCGACACTAATTTAGCACACTGTTCTGAAGCGATGCTTAGCATTGTCTCCATCTCTGTCTCTCTCTCTCTCACATACACAGAGGACAGAGAGGAGGGGTAAAAGCCAAGCAGCAGAGGACTAAGGATGTACTCTGAACAATTCTCTCTAGGTTTATAGCCTATTGTCAATTCCTACAAACTATGGACAGCTAAAACCCAAAATAATCATAACAAAATATGATACAGAAAATGCCATGACGTTGAGCTTCGTTGCACACGACTTTTCTGCAATCTCTTTGAAGCAGGACACGTTTATGTGGAGCCGCTAGCCCTGGCCTGAGGAAGCACACACCTAGGGTGTTTATAGCTTTAGTTGGTTATGTTTCCAACTGTGGAAGGAAGGAAAAAAAAAAAAAAAAGAACACTACCTTTAAACAAACAAACAACAAAATCCAACCAACCAACCAACCAACCAAACAAAAACAACCATGCAGAATATTGTCACATTGTTGGTTTGTCTAAGTCCACAGTCAATATGCGTTCACTAATGCCACTTTGAACTTGTTAAATACTGTGAATGAAAACTTTTCCAGCTGTTAGAGCACAAACTCCAAGTGGAGAAACACAGCTACCTGCATACAAGAAGTAAGCCTGCTGTTGATTCCTGGCTGGACTATAATTATCCACAGCATACCCTCTAGTTTGATAAATACTGTGTTTCGAGTCTCTCAAGCTGAACCTTCACTCATTCAGGGGCGTCCTGGGCAGAGGGGCGGCATCTGCTTTAGGAGCGCCTGACAGCGTGGTTTCCATTTCATTTTACCCTCGCGCACACATGCAGCCCCGTCTCAAGCGGCAATGAGCCTGGCCGATTCCTGATGATTTCAGTGATATACAGACTGTGCTTTAACAAGCCACAGTCATTTTTCTTCAAACTTGGAAAGGAAGATCCAGTGTCTCTCACGCTGCTTCTTTCCCACCCCAGCAGCTCTGGCCACTGAGCTGATGCTGCCCGGTAATCTATCTGGGTAGGGTCGCTGTCTCAGAACCACTGAGCATGGATTGGTCAGAGGGAAGCAGAGGAGGAGCCATTCAGAACAGTTTCCCCTGCTCCGTGTAAGCGTGAGAAACCAGCAGCCCGCGCCAGGCTGCTCTGGCTCACAGGGATGCGCAGGGAAGCTGAACTTCGGAGAGGCTGCCGTGTGAGTGTGGGCGCGCAGATGCGGCTCCCAGCGGTTCGGAGCCCCTCGGGAAAAGGACAAGACTCCGAGTGAATAAGGGTAACGTAAAGAGGAAAGCAAACTGGCGGACTGGAGAACTGAGAATGAGCATTCAGAAGTGCCAGCTTCTGAAGAGACGATGAGCAGAGCCGAACCCAGGAGACACCAACAACTCCTTTGCAAGCTCTGCTGCTTCTGATCCTTGCTCCCAGCAGGCGCCGACTGCAGCCTCCCAACTTCCAAACACACACACACAGAGACCGGGAGGAAATCACCCGGAGCTTCCCTGACCCGGGAGGTCGGATCGGTTCGAGGAGGACTCCAACCCAGCTGCTGCAGGAAGATGAACTCCACCCACCACCATGGCTCCTCTACCTCCCTCCACCTCTGGAACCGCAGCAGCTACGGGCTGCATGGCAATGCCAGCGAGTCCCCGGGGAAGGGATATTCGGACGGGGGATGCTATGAGCAACTTTTTGTCTCCCCTGAGGTGTTTGTGACTCTGGGTGTCATAAGCCTGTTGGAGAACATTCTCGTGATCGTGGCCATAGCCAAGAACAAGAATCTCCACTCACCCATGTACTTTTTCATCTGCAGCCTGGCTGTGGCAGATATGTTGGTGAGCGTTTCGAACGGGTCGGAAACCATCGTCATCACCCTGCTGAACAGCACAGATACGGACGCGCAGAGCTTCACCGTGAATATTGATAATGTCATTGACTCTGTGATCTGTAGTTCCTTGCTTGCCTCTATTTGCAGCCTGCTTTCCATTGCGGTGGACAGGTACTTCACTATCTTTTACGCGCTCCAGTACCATAACATCATGACGGTTAAGCGGGTCGGGATCATCATAAGTTGTATCTGGGCAGCTTGCACTGTGTCGGGCATTCTCTTCATCATTTACTCGGACAGCAGCGCTGTCATCATCTGCCTCATTACCATGTTCTTCACCATGCTGGTTCTCATGGCCTCTCTCTATGTCCACATGTTCCTGATGGCGAGGCTTCACATTAAGAGGATTGCTGTCCTCCCGGGCACTGGCCCCATCCGCCAGGGTGCCAACATGAAGGGGGCAATTACCTTGACCATCCTGATCGGGGTCTTTGTGGTCTGCTGGGCCCCGTTCTTCCTCCACTTACTGTTCTACATCTCTTGTCCCCAGAATCCATACTGTGTGTGCTTCATGTCCCATTTTAACTTGTACCTCATTCTGATCATGTGTAATGCTGTCATTGACCCTCTCATTTATGCTCTGCGGAGTCAAGAACTGAGGAAAACCTTCAAAGAGATCATCTGTTTCTACCCCCTAGGAGGCAGCTGCGACTTTCCCGGCAGGCATTAAGCGTGCAAACTAGAAACCCGCAGTCGTTCTCACCCTGACACAAACTGAGCAGTGTCCTTTGCAACCGCTGCCTTCTCTGTGTAGTGCTTTGATTGAAAATATCTGCTGTGTAAGTTTAAGCTTATGACTTTTGACATGAAAAAAAGTCTAAATTTGTTATTTTTGATGTCATGCTACTTTTTTTTTTGTTTGTTTGTTTGCCAGTGCTTCTTTGTGTTCTATATTGTGGGCACTCTGCATTTATTAAAAAAAAAAGAAACGCAAAGACACCCTTATTAAAAGTTTATTTATCAAGATTCAACACTTGTCCTTTTTGTAGTAGCAGAAATCGGAGCCTTATTAAATATGTTCTCAGCTGTTTTCATGCATTACTGCACTGCAGAAGCGTGGTTCCACTGCTTATGGGGAAGTGCTCAAAAATCATATGCTTGATCATTAAATAAATCAGCCCTATCAGTGAAATTTCAAGCAACTGAATAACAGCTTTCCTGCTATCCTTTCTGTTCAAATATACTGATGTGTCTCTTTAAATAAAAGAAAGAAGCAGCTACCGAGGAAAAAGTGAGATTTGAGTCAGATGCCATTCTCCAGGATGGAGAGACTCACTGCCCAAGCCAACAGCCTCACAGTACAGATAGGCAATCAGTTGGGGGGAGGGGAAATGCCCACTATTAAGATTGAAGTGTCCTGGCAAATCTAAACTGTCTATGCCATGCTGAACTTCCCTATGCCAGACGATCCCCAACCATAAGTGACCAAACAGAATGAATCTTTCCAGCCTATTAACCAGGGATTCAGTTCTTACAGAAACATCCAGAAAGTGGCCGCCTGAGAGGTGCGGCATTTCATAGAGTTGATAACAAATTTCATATGGAGGGGACTTCCTGTTAACTTTCTGATTAGGTTTTTGGGCTGGTGTATCAGTGCTGAAGATCAAACGTTTTAACTTCCCAAGCCAAATCCACATCACAAAACATTTTGGGACAGTGTTTGTAAATATTTAAACTGTGGAACTCTATGGTGTCGGCACATTATAAGACGAAAAGAAGACACATATGGGGTCCTGGAAGATACAATAAAACACTCTGGTGTTCCTAGCCATATCTTAGGGATGAAAATACTTGTTTTTCTCCAAAATAATATCATAGGTATGGCCACTGAGCAACTAAGTCTGTGCTTTCTAGCCTGTGTACATTTTAAAATAAAAGAAATAAAATCTCCATTAGTCCTAGATTATAAGCAAAGTTTCCTGTGATTCAACTGACAGTATCTCCAAATACTCACAGACAGAGATACTACATAGCAGTACATCTGAATTAAAAGCTAAATGTTTCACATATTAATTATAAGCCTGAGAAACATTTAGGGTGTTCATGTGCAAACACGCCTCAAAGCATGATGGGAAAGACAACTGTTTCAAGGTGCCATCCTCTGAGCAAGCCTGCCACCTATTTGTAGGATTGGTTGTGGTAACTTGCACGCAGGTAGCATCACATCTGCTTGTGTGCTGACGACGTTCTTCCTAGAAGAAAGAGGGGAGGGAGTGTTGGGTCCTCATCTGTGTATCCACACACACTTCCCAGCCATGTGTATGAAACTTTGCTCTAACAGAACTCAGGGGCAGCAGCATGTATGCTGAGAAGGAAAAGGGAGGAGGGCGCCATCTGTGCGGCTGTGGGCTGTGGGGAAGCTGTCAGCTGTGGTGGGTGAAGAGTTGCCAGTGTGACTGCTCTATGGTCGCCCACACAATCCTGTGAGTAGCCCCTCACTCGTGCTCTGTAAGTAAGCCTACCAAACTCATTGGGTCCCCAGGGTAAACTGTGCTGGAAATCATATGCGGGTCTGTGTTGGTCCCATAGGAAGGAGGGGTAGACCTTGTTCACAGCAGAAGAAGGTAATTTTTACAGCAGCACCATTAACCGATGGAGCGTGGTTCTAAGGCTGGACCTGAACCACATCACTGTGCTTCTATTTTAAAACAAAAATGAATGGTGGGGCTTTTTACAACCAACCAAACCTGCTGAAGTTAAAATCCTAAAGGTCCATGGAGTAAAGGTTTCCTCTCCAGGGTGGCACTACTGAGAAGGGGCAGAGTCTTCAGGAGATGGGACCTAGTTGGAAGACTTCCAGTCATTAGACTGTGCTCTTGAGGGGTGTAGTGGGACTTTAGCTCATTGCTCTTTCTCTCTGTTGCTCTCTGAGGCAATATGATGACTTCTCCGTGATGATCTGCCTCACCACTGGGCCAGTACAGGATCAGTCAATCTTGTACTACAGCCTCCAAAACTAGACCCTTGAACCCTTTTCATTTCATAAATTATCTCAAGTTTTTTTTTTTAAATGGTGATCAGAAGCTGAGTTAAGACATAGAGTCCCCCAAAATAGTTGTTCCCAGGTGGATTTTTTTCCCCTTTTATCATTCCTTGTTTCACACAACGATCCCAGAGAGACCCAGAGACTGTGGATATAAAGAGCATCGTGCGCACACTCTATCTCTGTAGCTCTGGTCTTTCCAACTGTTCTATTTCCTTTCAGATGGCATCTCAGACATTCATAGGGAAGTCCTGACTCTTCATGTCACACTTTTTTTTTTCTGGGCCAATCTGTAGTGGTCCCATTGGTTGTGGACCAGCTATGAGCCATAAGGCTCCCGAGTTGTTTACAGCACACTGTGGGGCTTCAGTGTCTTCCCATGCTGATAATGGCTCTTCCTAACTTGTTCTGTACTCCAGACCTGCCCTGGAGATATTACTTCTCAATGCTATGCTAAAAAAAAAAATCTAGACTTCTGCAGAGCGACAGCCCTTACCCAAGTGACCTCTGATGGCCATCTCGTATCCAGTACGAGTTCCAGGTTCTCCAACTGAGCTGTTTGGGGGTCATTGTGATGATCTTATAGTTAAAATTTTAGGCTCAGCAATATGTATTAATGGAGTGGGGAAATATAAAGAAAGAATTGAGGTGGAGATTTGGGGGTTAGGAAACTTGACCTGCGTAAAATGAAGACACCTGAGTACACTGCCTGATAGAGCGAAGGTGGAGGAATGCTTGCTTCAGTTAGAGAACTTTAAATATATTAAGAACAGATAATTATGCCCCCGAGAATTACGTGAAAAACTTCACAAATGGGGAAAGTAGATTGTGCTGTGTTCCCCCAGGCCTGCCTCTAATGGGAACACACTGGGACAAGACATAAATGTTACCCAGCCATGACACTTTGATTATACATAGATTCCCATTTCCCGAACAGGCCTGTACTTCAGTCTCAGTTTCCTGACTGTTTCTGTATATCCTGCTTCCCATATTTTTACTTAAGCCCTTTTGGAAATAGGGATCTTATGCTCTTATTTTCTTCACATGGAGTCTGATGTACAAGCTAGACTAAAATACATCTAATACAAATCATAAATACGAAATGTGCTTGATTCCTAGAAATGGTTTCCCAGAGAGACCCAGCTTGGAATCTTCTATGTCCCATTTATTCAATAATTGAGACAGAACCTTCTTATAGTGTGACTGCTTAGCTGCATGTCCTTCCCTTACTGGATGGTCTTCAAGGCAGGATGGAAGGAGCCACTGAGCTTGATTGGAGAAGGAAATGAGTTAGGTGTTATGGAAGTATTGTTATCTTTAAAAACTCAGTTATGTAAACATGTTCGTTTTAATCCCAAGGTGGGATTTTAGTTTGTCCTTTAGTGTGTCCACAGCTGGTAATTGCCTCATGCAGGGATGTTGTCTTTGCCAGACAGAGTAAGTTGAATTCTGAGGACTCTGAGGGATATAAATACGAGAGCCCAGAAGGAGGATGTGCAGCGGCTTGGAGGAGACAAAAGGAGGACTTCTTGATGCATTTGCTGGATTGCCGGTTTCCTGGAGTGCTGGACCCTGACGACTGAGACCGTTGTTGCCCTCAAAAGAACCCTGTGACCTACTCAGAGGGAAGAAGTAAAGGCTTGGTCTATACCCCCTTTTTCTTCTAGCTTTCTTTCTCTCCTACTGAGGGTTGGAGGATTGGAAGGGAGGTAGAAGCTTTAAGGAACCCCCAAATAAAGTTTAAAAACTAGTGCCTACAGTTAGGCTTGGCTGAGTCACAGGGAGGTGGTAATAGCAACCAGTAGCCATCCTTCAGAAATTCCATAAGTAGTAATTTGAGATATAAAATCACAGCTCAGGGACATCAGGTTGAGTTTTGCTACATCTGATGGTCCTGGCCGTTAGTAGGCATGGTAGAAGTAATCTGTGATAGTCCTCACTACAATATTGGTCCATATGGTGACAGAGTTAGGAGATAGAGCTGTTTGTCGCTAAGCACACTGCATGAATTAAACCTAACACAAATGAGAAGCTTTCTTGCCTCTGCCCCTTCCCCCATCACAGAGAGAACACTTATGGCCTCTAGTAAGTGGAAATCAAGGTATTTATTACTTTCTGTCTGCAACACCCTCTCCCCTCCCCCAATAAAACACCTCTCAGAGAAGTGAACCATAGGATACAGTCTACCATATGAGCTTAAAGCATCTGACCATCTAGCAAACAGGACGAGGACATGAGCATCCTGGTGGAGAAGAAAATAAAAATGTATGGAGAAGAGCAAAAGAGTGGAAAACTGCTTACCAGACTGTGGATCAGTTATGTTAGCCTGACTGTCAAAAAATAACTAGGCAGCTAGATAAATAAGTAAATAAATCCATAAAACAGCTATGCCTAAACAGAGACTTTAACTAGAGATCCACCTACCCTGACTGGTGCTCCAGAATTTCTCTGCGTGGAGACTGAAGAGACCACGTGTTTCAAATGAGTCACAGGGGACTGTCCTAAACCCTTTTTGACTAACTGTCACCTCTCACTTGCAGTGTGTGTGTCTTCTTGACATGTTCCTGGAGGGAAAGTCATTGCATTGGTGCAATTAGTGAACGTGGGCATTAGGCTGACTCCATCATGCAAGGGTCTCTTCTGTTTGCTGAAAAGGGAACAAGGTGAAGAGAACCCTTCCTGCTTATTACCAGTCCACTAATTGAGCGTTATTCTAAAACCTGTTTAAAATCTGTAGGCTATTTTGTCCTTCAAAATTTTTTCCTACTAGTCTAAAATGATATTTTACCAATGTTATAGAGTCTTAATTAGTGCCTCTTAGCTGGGTTTGTGCTTATTACTTCTTTCATATTTTTTTTTCCTACTCAGTTTCTTCTGTTGTGACACAGTAATACAAAACAACAAAAGATGTAAACCAAAAATAAATGTCGATAGTCTCATTAGGCCACAGACTTAGCCCAGTATTT